AACAGGGTGCACTGAAGCTGTGTCTGCCTTGGAGTGCATTTTACCTGGTTGGACAAGGGGACTCCAGTTCAAGCCCAAGGCTTGGCTCGCCCAGGTGGCGAGACTAAAAGGAGGCATTAAAACCTTGAGCTAAGATCTCAAAGAGCTCAGCCCTCAGGGCAGGGGTGAACAGGAAGTAATGTCCATCTGCCATCCACCCTCATGCTGAGCAGAAGGGCAGGGTGTGGACTCTTCCTGTGAAGTTGTAGCCACAAGTCAGCTCTCTGTCAGTTTGCAGCTCAAGTTGATATTGCCTCAAAAGGGCCCCCAAACTCCCTCAAATCAAGTGAGGTAGACCTGGATGGGCAATGTTACTGGGTAGGTGGCCAGAAGCAAATGCAGATTCTCTGGAGGAAGATGCCTTCATCCCGGACTTCTTAGAATCTCCACAAATGATTTTCGAGTATAATGAGCAGCATGTAATAGAAAACAACCAACCACACAAGAAAAGAAGGCACCAAGAGTGAGAACCAGCAAAAAACCCCCAGACACTGGGCAAACCCTTGAAGACTTGAGACAGTGGGATTATCAGGAATAGATTATAAAACAATTATACTTTCTATTTTAAAAAAAGAAAAGAGAAGCTTGAGATTGTCTGTAAAAACCAATAAACTATATTTAAAAAGAATATAGAGAACCTTTAGAGATGAAAAGTATGGCTACCAAAATTGAGAAAAAACACCCTGATAATTGGGCTTAATATGAGTTTACACACAGTTGAAGAGAGAATTAATGAACTGGAAGATAAATCAGAAGAAGCTATTCTGAATGCAGCATGGGAAGACAATCAGATAGACGTGTGGAAGAGAATTTAAGTGCCACGGAAGATCAAGTGAGAGGATGTAGTATGTGATTAATCCAGACAGAGAGAAAGTTGGGCAGAGACAGCATTTGAAGATGTGAGAGTTTTCCAGAACTGATTATATTTACAAGTAGATATACACTGATCTATATATACAAAAAGCTCAACTAACCCCAATCAGGGATGATGAAAAGGAATCCACAACATAATAACAACAAAATAGTCTTAAAAGCAGCTCAAAAAATAGCCAGCTTGCCTTCAGAGGTACAGCAGCTTACTTCTCAATGGTAGGAATGAAGCCAGAAGTTGATGGAATGACGTATTTACTCTAATGAAAGAAAAGAACTGCAACCCCGGGGTTCTGTATATCTTTTCAAAATGCCTTGAAACACAAGGGTAAAATAAAAACATTTTCAAACAAAAACAGAAAGAATTACTGGTAAATCTTTGCTAAATAATGTACTTTAAGCAGAACAAAGGTCTTCCCAGATGGAAGGTCTGAGAAGCAAGAGTAAAGGAAGTAAATATGTAGACTAATTGACATGGAAATTGACTTTTCAAAAAGCAGTAACATTGTGGGATTAACAAAGACAGAAATAATATACACAACAACAATGACATATAAGTTAGGAAAGGGCTAAATGTGTTGGAATGTTCTAGAATCTCTTTGTTGTTCAGGAAAAGTGTGAAATTATTGATTATTATGTATTTGGTAAGTATTCATGGTATAATTTTTAGAGTAGCCACCAAAAGAATAGAGTGTAGCTTCCAAACTTTAGGGGGGAAAAATGGGATCAGAAAAAACAATCTGAAAGAAGCAAGAAAGGAGACTAAAAGAAGCATGGAACAGGTGAGTTGAGTAGAAAGAGCAGAATAAGATGCTGGATTTAGATCTAAATAGATGAAATGTAAAGGATGTAAATGTAATCTTCACATCTTTACACCCAACTTAAAGCTAGTTAAGACACAAGCTTCCGGTTGTAGTGTGAGTGTGCAGTCTAACGCAACAACTTCTTCCAGCCACAGGGGTCCCACTTCCTGGGAAAACCATCACAACCACACAAGTCCAGCCTCCCAGGCTGCAGCAGACCCCTCAAGTGCAGGTTCCGCAGACCCACGGCCCAGCCCAGTCGCCTGCACAGATCAAAGCTGTAGGCAAGTTGACACCGGTGAGCAACTTCCAGAAAACCATAGACACACACTGTCTGTGGGATGATGCCTTGTTGCATCACGTAATTCAAAGTGTATTTTGCACAGATCTACCACGGGGTTTATGTGGGAAGTGTGTTTGTGTTGTCTTTAAAAACAACTTTCCGTATAGTGGCACTTTCATGATCGCATGACCAGTTTGATCACAGTGCTCTGGAGACTAAATTCCCATTTCCAAACACATCTTCCCACTTGCCTTCCTGTGCTCCATGTGGCAGTTCAGCTCCAGAGAGGACCAGAAGGCCACTTGGTCCATTCCCAACCCGAGAAAATGCTGCTGAGAAGCATTTCTCAGCAACTTTGGAGACCAGGTGTGAAGACTTGGTCTCTTCAGGAAGAGTTAGTTCATTTGCAGTGTCGTTTCTCCAAGTCGGTCATTTGAGTACTGATCTTCCTGATTTTTGCCAATCTGTGCACCACTTGTGCTGTTGTATATGTAATAATTCACTTTAAAAGGAAATATATTCCTCATAAATAGAAAAGCATTAATACTTGGCATAGAAAGTAACCAGAAAAACATGCAATAAAAATAAGACACGGCTGGGATTTTAGAATTCCAGCTAGCTGTGGGGCCTGCCACAGTAAGTGCCTGAACTGGGGCCTGCCCCTTCTCAGTTACAGAGGGGACAAGACGGCATGTTGGAGGACGTGCTGGCACTGAGCCAAGGCTTCACCCTTGAAGCACCAGAACACATGCCAGAGAAATGAAATGCAACCAAATAAAGCATTCAGTTCCTCAGTCACATCAGCCACATTTCAAGGGGTCAGTGACTACCCTATTGAACATCCCAGAACTAGAATGCGTCCATCACTGCAGAAGTTTCTGCTGGACAGCACAAAATTAGAGAACAGTTCCTGGGCCCTGCAGAGGCAAGTGTCACAGCTGGTTCCCCCACCAGTGCTGCCGTCCCTTCTCACCTTCCTGCTCCTCCCTCCCTAGGATGCAGGGCCTTCAAAGGCCCCTACTCACCCCTTTTCAGCTGCCCAGAGCCCCACCTACCCACTCATGGCCTGGTTCCTTTATTCTCCACTCTTCCCTCCCCTAAGCCAATTTCAAAGTCATTTCCATTTTTATCATGTTGAAAGAGATCCCATAGTCATGAACAACTCAGTATAAATTTTCTAAAAAAAATACTTTATTCTTTAAAATATTTTATTCCTTTGAGGAAACTGAGGCTCAGGGAAATGAAGCAACTCACCCGGAGTCAGGGAGCTGATGGTCGGACTCCAGGGTCCTGTGCTCATCAGGCATCAGATGGGCAGCTCTTCCCTGAGTGTTGCTGCCCCTCTTGTAGGAGGGAGCCCAGCTGGTGGTCTGGTGGGGGCTGAGAGAGTGCCGATCCTGACCATCTTGGTTTGTGAGGACAGCAGAACAGAAAGCTAGAAGGAGAGCTGTCTTTGGTGACCTCATGTGAGGTGGTGGGCGCCAAGAGGAAAGGATGCTGGGAAGGGACAGCATTGATGAGGGAGATGGTCAGGGCACACAAGGATGCAAGCATTTGGGACGTCAGTGGAAAAGGGCAGGACTGACCTTCAGGAAAGAGCTGTCCTGGCTGCACCAGCCCATCATGCCAGACACGCCTTTCAGATATCCTCCTCCTTCTTACTAGATGGTGCTGGGCCCGAGGAAGGGTGTGTCTCCTCTGAGTAAAGACAGTCCTCATACCCTCTGGGAGGTGTCTTCTCCCTGGCATGGACAGTTTCAAGAAGGAAACAACACTCAGTCACCTCCCCAGGCCTTTCCAGCAGTCCTCTGGGCTCAGCTGGGCAGCAGCGGGAGGAGGGCGCAGGGCAGCTAGCAGGTCTGGCCATGGCTGGGCGCCGGGAGAAGAGAGGCACTGGTGACAGAAGGACAAAGACACCAGCAGGGGGGCCAGGGTAGTAATTGCATGGGCTTAGTTTATGTCTGAAAGAGAGAAAGAGAAGTGCTTTAGCTAGAGTGCTGGTCTGCATATTAGTATGATTTGAAATAAAACTTCTGAGCCATTAAAAAATACTAATATGTAGCTATGGCTTTGTAAGCCAAATATAGACCACATATATGCACGGCCTCCTGAAAACCAGAAATTGGATTAAATGTGCAAAGATTGTGCATACTGGTTTGTTACCACCTGTGCTAAATATTTTTGGGTATATGCCAAATTCTTAAAATTAGATTTGAGAAGTTCTGTGTGTATAATTAGATTCAAGAATTTCTGTGTGTATATTTTCTGTACTCTGGTCAAGTTCACTTACATGATGAGCAGACATTGCACCAAGTGCTACAGAGGATGCAAAGCTGAACCCCAGACAGAGCTGTGAGAGGCCTTCCCGGGAGAAAAGGCAGGTGACATGCAGGCTGGGGATGCCAGAGGGGCAGCTGCAAGAACGGGGCACAGGGCCAGCAGTGCCAGGAGCATGGGATGGACACACTGTGGGGACGTCTGGGGCCAGTTGGAGCCCACAGAGGAGGCCATGAGGGCCCTGAGAAGCGGCCGCAGAGCTGCGCCTGGCTCTAACGGGGAGGTCTCTTTGTCCCCAAAGTGCACAGCAGATTGCTGCTCAGGGTCAACCAGAAAAGGTCACCCATGCCACCGAGCCAGCCCTTAAAATCCAGTTTCTTACCATGCCCAGAAACTAGTGGGGACTGAGCTGGGGCAGACACAGACCCAGCTGAGCACGAGCGAGCGCCAGGGCTGGATTGCAAAACCCGGGCGCACAGCAGGGCGAGTCTTCCAACGCGCAGGGCTCGGAGAAGAACGGCGGACGCTTGCGGAGCCAGCACCCTGTGAGGAGGGACCCCGCTGCTCCTCAGAGGTGGCTGGTCCCCTTACATTCCTTACCAGCTCTGCCGCCTGCGGGATCAGCGCAGTGTGGCTCGGGGTCCGTGCTGAGGTCACACTGTGGTGACGTCCTGTATGTTTGTGACGCTCCTCCAGAAGTTGGGGGTCAGCCTGCCGCGTCACTGCTGCCGAGGGCCGCGCGGCTCCTCCTGGTTTTGTCCCTGGCTGTGGGACCCAGTGCTGCCCCGAGTCGCAGGCACATCTGCTGCAGGGGTGTCAGCGCCGCCCGCGGCTGCCTGTGCCTGGGTGCGGGGCTGTGGCGCGCACGTCCCTGGAACTTTGCGGGGCCCCAGAGGCGCGCCCTCGCCTCGGCCTCCGCCTCTGGGGACTGACGCGACGCCTCCTTTCACCATCTGTGGACGGTCACATCTCCTCTGCTGTGAAGTGCCTGTTCACGTGTCTCCCAATTTTGGATTACATTCTGGATATTAGCCTTCCGTTCTGTGTGTCCCACTGTCTTCTCCCACTTGGTGGCTTATTTTTCTCACTTACTTTATGGTGTCTTTGGTTGAATAGAAGTTCTTAATTTTAATATATAGAAATTTATCAATCTTTTCTGAATAGTGCTTTTTGTGTCTTGCTAAACAAATCCTTCCCAAAGGTCATGATGTTATTTTCCTGTATTGTCTTCTAAAACCTTTACAATTTTCTTTCATATTTAGGTCTCTAAACCTTCCAGGAATTGGTTTTTCCAGATGACATAAAAATAGGAGTTAAGTTAAATTTTTCCATTTGAATACCCTGTTGTTTTCAGCATCACACATTAAGGAGTGCATTCTTTCCCTCTGATCCACAGCGCGACCTCTGTGTGTCCCCCCTGGTTGTTTGTGGGGTTTTCCTTCAGCGCTGGTCTTTGTGCCCACGCGGCTCTGTCTTCATCTCTCTGGTGCATAAGGAGACTTGGCATCAGGAAGGCAAATCCTTCCACCACGGCCTATTGGGAATATCCTGCTGCTTGTGGCTCTCTGCACGTCTCTGTTAATTTCGAGTCAGCTTATTCAGTTTACACGCCACAATCAAAACTGCTGGGCTTTTCATTAAAATTGTTCCTGTTCTACAAATTAGGAACCCTGACGGGTGTGTCATGGCTCCCAGCAACTGCCCATTCAGGCAACCGTCTGCTTCTGTGAGCCAGCATCGCGACACCCCTGAGTAGTCACAAGTGACCTGAATTATCTCATTACATCAAGACACCAGATCTGCATGTGACAAAATGTTTACAAAAAGCAACTGCAGGGTGGGAGGTTGTGTTTTCTACAGAGGGAGATCTCAATCCTGATTAAGAAAAATGTAGAGAAATGATAAAATAAACACTTGAACATTTTGGTACCTCTCTGGGCTAGGGCTGAACCTTGGTGCTGGTCCGAATCACTCCAGAGCGGGGGAGCCCTCCTGGAATGCCGCCAAGAATTGAAGAAGGGCTCTTTAGAGAACTCACGAAATGCTAAAATATTTCATTCTGTCCTCAGTTTAATTCTCTCATGTAAGCTTGGAGCAGTTTTTAGTAAAAGAAGAAATCTGACTGTCTGAAATCTAAGACCAAAACTCAGCTTCAAGTGACATGACTGCAGGTTCGGAAGGAAATCATTGTTCAGCACGAAAGTCAAATAACCAGGCCCCTCAGGATTCCAGGGGAGCGCACTTTGAGAATTGCTCTTTTGTGTCATCTGGCCATTGTTTTGTTTTGTTTTTGCGTTAAGAACTCAGAAGGACAAAATCTCTTTCTGTGCATATATTCATTTGAATTCTACTTTTGACCCTTTTTGTCGAAGGTTGCAGAACTCCCTCAAGTCTCCCAGAGCGAGTGCCTATGGCCAGCATCCGGCAGGTCGCCTCTGCCTCACAGCAGCTGGGACCTGGAGACACACAGGCATCCGGGAAGTTCTCTCGTGGACTTTTCAGGGAACTTCACATTCTCAGGGTAAGAGAGCTGTTGGTTTTCATCCTAAGTATAATTTTAATTATTAGAGAGTTACTTTTGATTTTCATAATACAGGAAAAAATTAACTTTGGGATAACCCTTTAATATCCTTAGACTAGCAGGAAAAACATGGAACAAACATGTCTCAACTCGGTGTCAAAGGTACTGAACAAGCTCATTTCTAGGATAATTCCTTCAGCCAGTAATCTTAGGTGTGTCCCACAAGCTGAAGCCACACACCCCAACCTTAGGGAAATGCAGAAAGAAAACAGTTGGCTCATAGCGACCTTGGGTCCTAGAAGTTTAGGTCTTCCTGGGGCAGCGATGACTTACCTTCCCAAGAGAAGGGCCACCAGGCTCTTACTGTTTTATTTACTGCTACAAAATATAGCCATGTAAAGGCAGTGCTTTAACAAAATTTTATTTTGTTAAAAATCACACTGGCATGTAGACTTCGAGAAACAAAATCGTATTAAAAGCTGAACCACCAGTCATCAACTCTTGCCTTTTTCCCAGAGGCATTCAGTTTTAGCCTAAAAGCAACAGTGGTTTACTTTTCTCCTTTTGTTTTGTTAGAAATCAGAGATCACATTTTGATATGAGGTAGTTTTCAGATTTCACAAAAGCATTCCTGCTAATTGTTTCTAAAAGCCCCCTTCCTACCCCTAAAGATGTTTAATTCATCATGTCACTTGCTTTGTGTTTTCTGTCTTGGCTCAGCTCTCTCCATGGACTGTGACCCTCACCCAGGCGACAGCAGCTGGGCAGCTGGTCTAGATGATCCCCACAGGGACCGTGACAGCGCCGGTGGCCCAGCAGAAACTCCTGCAGCAGCGGGCTGTGAGGACAGCAGCGGCAGCCCACTGCAGGCGTCTAGTGTCCCACCAGTGCAGGTGCCAGCCAGCTCCAATAGCCCAAACCAGCTGCCCAGTTACACATGGGAGTCCCTGCCATCAGGTTAACAATGCCCACCAAACCTCCATGCGCCTAGTCAGGAAAGTGGAACAGCCTCAGCACAAGCCGTGCATGCAATCCAGCCCAAATTGGGTAGATTTTATTTATTGTTGAACCTTGGGACAGTGTCTTGTGAGATGTCCATCACCTGGAAAGCTGTAATTGAAACAAAGTAGTGTAACTACTTTATCACAATGCATCCTACACTGTGGGAGCAGGGATCCTCATTGAACATCCCCTTTTCTGTATTATGCAACTAGTTGAAAAAGTGACAGTGGCAATTTTTTCAAAATAATGTTAACTTTTAATTTCTCTTCCAGAGCAACAGTGCTGGGTCTTGAAAGCCAGTTAGGACTTCTCTGTTAGTGTACAGGGTTTTGCACATCACAGGAGCCCTTTGGCGGTGCAGTGAATCATAAAACAGACTTTATGAAGCTAGAACATGGTCTTTGACAGAACCTGCGTCTGCTTGGCTCTTTATACCTGACTGGAAAGGCATCATGGTCCTGAGACAGGAGAGAGACGGACTATGGTAGATCATTTCAGGTCAGAGGAAGCCAGTGTGGTTTTTCCCTTCCCTCCTAAAATGTGACTTGTTTGAACTTTGAAAGAAAATGTTTAGTACTGACGCCCACCGAAGCACATTCACGATGTGTTCTCGGCTTGTGTCGAGGGGAAATAATCTGTGATTGAGTTTTCATCCCAAAGAGCAGCCAGTGTGGCTTCCCCAGAGCCTCCCCCGTGTGACTTGCTTCCATGGAAACACAGCCTTCGGGACTGCTCCTCTTCCCAGCACATCCGCGGTATTTCCCAGCTTTTGGATGAAGCTCGTGTTTGGACTCAGTGCACTGAAGCAGCTCCGGTGAACGTGTGAGGCTCCCGTCTCGGGTGGTGTGGGGCCCAGAGCACAGCTCAAGTGTTGTTCTGTTGCAGACGTCACTGCTGAGTGCAGGGTAAGGGAAGCAATTAGGGCAGAGGCTTGTCATTGCCCCCTTGTTCTCATGCCCTCCCCAGGGTGATCTGCAGAGGTGAGAGACCTCCTCGTACCAGGTGGTTTATTTATGAACCTACAAGTATTGCCCACAGAAATGGGCACAGTGAACTCTTCGTTGCACTCTCGTAATGCCAAGCTTCTGAGCCAGGATCTCATACATGAGCAGATACGCTCACTCACGCTTCTGCATAAAGCCAGGAACTGTCCAAGCTGTTTGAGGGCGCACAGTTGAAGGGCAAACAGGAGGCTGCCTGTTTGGTACTGTTTTTATTTTTTTACTGAAGCAAAATAATAGAAGTGATTGCAGTGGGCTTGACTGGCTGATGATGTCTGCTTACCCGGAAGTTTTCCCCTAAGCAAGAGGTGCAGGCCCCATGACGCCCTCTGTGCCTCTCTTACATTACTCAGTTCAGGAAATCAGGCTGAATTCAGTCTGCATGTACTAAGGATCAGTTAGGGCTTACTGAGAGATTTTTAATTTTATTTTTATTTAACCTGTTCCCTCCCCATTGTATCAGTTTGACACAAAGGAAAGCCTTTTGTCATGTAGTTTTTTGTTTCCCATCAACTTATGTGGACAATAAGATGGCGATACTTAGTGCAGCCAACTGGGAGCTGATTGCTGACCTCTTGGTTGGAAATTTGGAAAAAGTAGAAATCAAGTATTGAAAAAGTGGGAGGAATTTAACATTATAGTTAACTGAATATATCAAAACAGAGCACTCTTTTCTTACAACCAAATTTGCTTTTTCTGGCTTGGCACGTGCTGCCATGAGCACGCACAGCCTGCAGCAAGGCTATCTGTGCACGCCTCGCGTCTGGTTCCTGAGGAAAATGCCTGCTCTGTTTATCCTCAAGTGTGTGGAACCGGCAGAGATAGGAATCCCTTTGTTCAGCTGGTTTGAATTCGTGCATCCTGTTCATTTTCCACTTGTCCTTCACGGGGGGTTGGCGGCCTCTTTTTAGACAATGATAAATGTTGAGTGCATGTATTTTAGAGTATCCTAGACATAGCTGCCAGAATAGAAGTTCTCATTAATCTAGACACTAGAAGAGAACTTAGAAACATCTCTCAGAAGCTTTCTAAGGGAACAGAACTGGGGTTCTGAATATTTTCCGTGTGGAAATCCTGCCCTATCTTCTTATGTGAGTGACAGCGACTCTCGTCCCTGAAGTTTGTTTTCTTCACTGAGTCCCTAATATACAATATGGAACAGAAAAGAGTTTTACTTGTATCGAAACCAGCAAACAGCCATTGATGATTACGTATCTAGGTACTAAAGGTTATTCCTTTTCACAATGACTGATTATAGCTTTAGCTGGTTAACCCTCCCATTGTTAACTGTGCTGCGGAGGCAATATGCTGTCTGACTCCCACTAGGCTCCTACAGATAACATCTCCCTGGAGCCTGGGTCACCGTGGTAATGGGTGTGTGAGCTGTTCTTCAGGAATTAGAACTCCTTGTCCACCCTTCAGGCCGGCTGAGACCACCAACTCATCAACCAGGCCCGCAGAGATGTCGGATAGGCGATCTTTTGACGTCAAGAGGCTAAAAACTCCACCCTCTGATCATGCTAACGCCGACATTTTGTGAACATGGGTCCTATGAAGAGGCATGGAGTCTGACTACGCTTGCGCAGCTCATCATTACCTCACCTCTCCTCCCCTCCAATCACCTCTCTCCACACTTCAGACCACCTTGCCCCCATCCCATAAATATCCCTGAGTCCCTATTTTCAGGGAAGTGGATTTGAGGCTCATGCTCTCGCTTCCTCCCATGGCTGCCTTGTGAGTAAACCCTCACTCTGCTGCGATCTGGTCATCTCGGTGTTTGGCTTTCTGGGCAGTGGGCAAAAACGAACCTGGTTTGGTGACAGTATCACTCGATTTAGCAACATCTAGTTGTCACCACTGTCTTTAATAGAGTCATTTAAGTAAAAATTCTCCTTCAGGGATAGTGTTTTTTGGTTTTCTGTTTTAAAGGTTAAACTTTTCATATTTGAGAAAATGTGTGTAGGTAATTGTCATCCAAGCCTTCTCAGATCGTCATTGTTAGCAGAATCCTGTATGACTTTGTGAACCAGGGGTCCTACCAGCACAGTATGTAATGATTGAAAGAAATCTTAGAACAGAAATAGAGACAGCAGCCAGAACACTATCAAGCTCCAATTGGCCACCACGGAAAGCAGTTGTCCTTTAAATCAGAGACATCTGTTCTGTTAAGGCCAGGCTGTTTCTCAAGCCTCCCCCGGGCAGCAGGAGGTCAGATCTGAGCGCTCCTTCAGATTTGCTGCCTAGTGAGGCAGAGGCATTCCTTTTTGCAGTGTTTGTGATTTTTTGTTAACTGTTGTAACCAGAGAGCTGTTGTGTTTTAAAATACCAAGGAAGAAGACTGAAATTGTAAATACTTTGTAAACATAATCCTTTGTACTTGAATAGTAGCATTTTAAAGGGTGTTGATAGCTCACCAAACAAAAAGTATAATAAATGGCACAGCTGTTAAGTTTGCATGTTCCGCTTCAGCTTCAGCGGCCGGGGGTTCGCTGGTTCAGATCCAGTGTGTGGACCTAGACACCGCTTGGCAAGCCATGCTGTGGCAGGAGTCCCACATATAAAGTAGAGGACGATGAGCATGGATGTTAGCTCAGGGCCAGTCTTCCTCAGCAAAAAAGAGGAGGATTGGTGGCAGATGTTAGCTCAGGGCTAATGTTTCTCAAAAAAAAAAAAAAAAGAAAAGAAAAGAAACAAAAGTATAGTAAATGGCCTTTTTATATGCTTTTTTGTTCTGTCTTTTATAGAAAACTAGTATTCAAGTTAAATAAGATGCTAGTTTTGTTTATTTCACTTCTACAAATTAAAAACTAAACTAAACAAAAACAGGGAACAAGCAGTGTTGGAGGCAGAGGTTTTCTTCTCCTGGCCCTCTCCCCCAGGCTGTGGGAGGAACGAGAAGGAATGGAGCGTGTGCAGAGGTCATGAGTGAAAAATCACTGTTTACCTCTGCAGGGGCCGCTGCGCCCCACAAGCACACGTGAAAGGAAGCCTGCTGCCCTGTCTCTGGTGACCTGCTGCACGCAGCACCTGGTCCCCCGGAGGCTGGGTCGACCCAGGGCAGTTTCAAACCTTGAACCTTCCTGCTCTCAGATGCTCCAGCACACACTCCTCTAGCCAGGCGGCCCACAGGTGCTTCTTTCTTTATCTTCTCTTTTGCTTTCAGACTCCTTTTCCTTTTGTAAAACAAAAGTTTCTGATTACTGAGAAAATTACCTACTTCTTATTAAAAATGCATACTTTATACAAAATTAAGAAGTGCTTTAAAAAATCCATGGCTAGTTTTGGTATCTTCTCTTTCACCACAGAAATAGAGGCACAGGGGCCACATAGGCCTGCAGCTTCAGGCTCCCCTTTCATGTCCTCCCCACCCAGAGCCAAGCACTAGGGCTTTTGTGAGCATCACCTGCACCTGGAGACCTGGCTGGGGGCAGCTGCAGGGGGCCTCACTTGGGACCCTTTGCGAAGCGCCTGCTGGGTGTTGGGAAGACGGGGTGCTTGGGACCCCGATGCTCCATGGCCTTGTGGGTCAGGACTCAGAAGCCTGCCTAGCCACATAACGGGGGCCAGCAACTTCATCCCTCAGTGCCTCAGTTTCCTCCCCCAAGGCAGTTGTGACATTCAGAAAGCACTCAACCTCTGATGCCTGCATTCGGTCATTGACTCTTTTACTGTGATTATTCTCAGTGGAAAAAACTGTGTTTTCACAGCTATCACTCCATCACTGTGTCCTTATAATGTAAGTAATGTAATGTAAGTAATTATAATGTGTCCTTATAATATAACCTCAGCCAATGGTACAGATGGCAGCAGGCCCAGGGCGGGCTGATCTGGACATGAGGCTATGTTTCTGTGTGCATCCAGTAGGAGCTGGGCTCACTCAGGTGAAGTGATTCTGCATCCGGTCACAGCGGGTAGCACCTCTGAACCCATGAGTCCTTTGCCACCACCTCCAATACATACGAGCATCTAAATTCAGGTTAACATAAAACACACCCTGTAGGCTCCCCCGCAGGCCACCCAGCTGTGCCAGCGTTAGAGGTCTCACTTAAGTCTTTCTCTTGACTCTAACCTCCTATCCTCCTATCAGGTGTTCGGATCCCGTGTCAGCGCCCTCTCCACTCTCCAGACTGGCAGCTATGATTCAGGGGCCCTGGGGAGAGAAGGGGGAGCCCCTGCCATAGGCTCTGGGCAGCAGTGCTTCCCTGTCCTGCCCTCGGCCCGCATCACCCAGGGGCCCTCGGGAGAGAAGGGGGAGCCCCTGCCATAGGCTCTGGGCAGCAGTGCTTCCCTGTCCTGCCCTCGGCCCGCATCACCCAGGGGCCCTCGGGAGAGAAGGGGGAGCCCCTGCCATAGGCTCTGGGCAGCAGTGCTTCCCTGCTCTGTCCTCGGCCCACATCATCTACACCCCAAGGTAAACTAACCTTTCAAAGTTTCCATTTTACTGGATACATTTTGTACATACACTCAGTGGAAATGAGTGCAGCTATTAAGAACAAAGTAGAGTTATATATCCTGGAATGGAAAGGTCTCTTTAAGGTGTAGTGAGCAAGAAGGTGCAGAAAGTAGTGTGCTACCAGAATAGAACTACTTGTATGCCTGCATGTGCACAGAGTATCCTGGAAACATGATGTGTCAACAGTGGCTGCCTCTTGGAGGGAGATGAGGGTGTGCTCAGGGATAAAGGGGTGCTTACTGCATACTGTTTGGCATATTCTTTTATTGTTTGAATAGTTTGCCATGTGCATGAATTATTTATTTTTTAAATACAGCCTTAAAAATAGCCTGCTCATCACAGGCTCCCCAGCTCAGGAAACTTAATTGTTTACGGGAGCAGGTTCCAGCTTCCTTTATTGATCCCTTATAGCTACCTTGACTCTCATGAGCTTCCAGCATATCATTCTACTCCCTGGACAGCATTCATTCTCCTCCCGACTTTCAATGCTCTGTTTTGTTGTGTTCTCCTCTGTTGCAAACTATTTTTCCTTCTTCTCTGAGGACCAGCCCACATAGCAAAGTGTGCACTCGTTCATCCATTCATACTCTCCATAATGTTGTTTCCTAGTAGTATCTTTATTAGACAGTAGCATTTGTTTTATTTCCCCAGCTGCAATGCCGTTCTAGTTTATCCCTATTTAATAAGCAATTATTGAAGTGTATTTGATACCAACCCTGATATTGGTTCCCCCACATTAAACCCAGCATATGTGGAATTAAAACCAAAATGCTCATTCCCTGCTTACTCCTTGGCTTCCTGGC